AAATACTTAGGCGTTTCAACATCTTCGCCTTAACCATTGTATTAGGCATACAAAAATTTTCATTCAATTAAGATGCCGTTTAAACTTTGTAATCACTTATCATAACCGAAACACATCTTAAATCGAAGGAAAAATCAATACAGCTTATTTATTTTAAAGCGAAAGATACTCAAGTCGAGTAGTTCTTGAAATATTGTTGGTCATATAACAAAAGATAAACATGAGAAATGCCTAAGGCAAATGATACTCGGGATAGTTTTTTGACGGTTGAAAAGAAATGGAGCTGGTGTACCTTTACTTACTAGACTACTTTAATTAATTAATACTAATATTATAATATAAAGCTGAAGGCCGGTTACAGTGCTCCACCGACCGTCTGTGCGTAGGTTCCGTCCTGACGGTACGCATTAACCGATCGTCAGTTTGCTTCATTCAGTGCTCTCCTGACCAACAATCTGACCGGATTGGTATAGTCGGTACGCAAACGGGAAGCGTTTGCAAATAGTTTAATTGTTGCTTATTATTTTCGAAAACGTTTAAGGAACGTTCAAGTTTTTTTTAATTATTTCAGAATGACGATCAAGTTTCGATGAATTATCAGCACATACTTCTTGCCAGGCCTTTAACTTGCCATCACGATCTTTATATAACACGTGGCCTTTGTCCCAGAGCGGTTCACGAAGACGAACTTCGGTGATTAGGCGCTCGGTGTCGATATATCTGGCCACGTTCAATACGAAATCGCTTTTTTTGATGATGATACACATATCCGTACGGTCGGTCCACCCATCGGTGCAGCATAGAACGCGTTCATTTGTTTCCATAGCGCGTCGGTCGACCGACGGCACGCATGCGGACGCGCTAGACCGACGGTCCTCGTACGCAGTGCGTAGCAATATACGCGTGCGTACGGTCAGTCCAGCACTGTAATGATTTATGAATTTTCATATAAACGACAAGCGCGACTGACGTACGCACAGACGGTCGGTGGAGCACTGTAACCGGCCGAAGTGTTTGTTTGTTTGAACGCGCTAATCTCTGGAACTGCTAGTCCGATTTGAAAAGTTCTTTCAGTGTTAGATAGCCCATTTATCGAGGAAGGCTATAGGCTATATAACATCACGCTAAGACCAATACAAGCGGAGCACGAATAAAGAATGTTTCAAAATATTTTCACTTTCTATGTGAATAAAGTGGGGCGTAAAATTTTGCGTTATGCCCAAGTAACTAACTATTCCAGGCGGAGGGAGTCGCGGGCAAAAGCTATTTATTTTAAATCGAAATATACTCAAGTCGAGTAGTTCTTGAAATATTGTTGGTCATATAAAAAGATAAATATGAGAAATGCCTAAGGCAAATGATACTCGGGATAGTTTTTTGACGGTTGAAAAGAAACGGAGCTGGTGTAGGTACTTTTACTTACTAGACTACTTTAATTAACTAGAATTAGACGTGTGTAGTAAGTAAACTAATATTGATTCAACAAAATGAGTTCATTCCTCTCGTTCGCGAAGGCGAGGACCCTCGTGGCTTGCGTTTAATTTTGATTTATGCAGAATCTCGGCGCCTACGCATCGCGTTCGTATGCTTTGTATTTCAGTAAGTAAATATCGCCTCGTATTACCAGCATGACCATTTTACTTTAAATCGTCTCGGTACAAACATAATAAGACTAGTAATAACCACGAATCAGGATTTTGTCATATTTTTCAATACATGACTACGATATGAAACTCAATATGTAACAAATATGAAAATAGTGTTAAGATTTCATTTCATTTCATGTTTCATTGAGTTGCCTCAAAATGTCAGGGAATGAAAATATTACTATCTTTTTTTATATTATTAAAAATTATTGTCAAGTCTCCATTACATAATAGCTCTTACTAGTAAGTAGGTCAAAACACATCGGAGTACAGTAAATATATGTTTATGTATACTTGTGTATGCCTTAATAAATATTTGCATAACAAAATAGCTTATGAAATTATTTTAATGACAGCAATCACACAGATCTAATCAATATGTTGAACATGTCTTTGATGTAAGGCAATGATATGGCGCCGTCAAAGTTCACTTTTACTTAATTTGTTACTTAAGTTTTTTAATATTTAATTAATATAAATTTTATTTAGGCTTTGGGTATAATAAATGAATTTGTACATTTGTATCGTTTTATGTTTCATAAAACTGTTGCCCTAGAGTCGCTTGTATTAAATTAAGATACTTCTTCTTTTTCTCCACCTTATCCCACTAGGTGGGGTCGGCACAGCTACTTTTTCTCTTCCATTCTCTTCTATCAGTTGTCATCTCAACACTCACTCCTCTCTCTCTCATATCGTCATTCACACACTCCATTCATGTCTTCTTCGGTCGACCTCTTCCCCCTCTACCTTGCACTACCATTTCCATACATCTCCTAGTCACATGCATCTTCTCTCTACGCATCACATGTCCATACCACGCTAACCGTCCGCTAAATTAAGATACACTTGGTTCAAAAATATCAAAAGCTCTTTTGGAATGTTTGATAATTACTAACATTTTAAACACTGATATTTAACTGCTTCCCAACTCAAGATATTTCAATAGTAGAAAATTTCAATATTAGAAAATACAAACAAGAAAATTTAAATCAATTCGTTACTACTAAAATATTGACATACTTACTTACTTACTAATTTTTTTTTACTTAAATTAATTTTAACAAGGAAATGCGGATTGCATTCTTGCCATTTGTTGAGTGGAAATGAGCATATAGATTTGTAATCCAAATTACATAACATATAAATAAACGTGATGTTGATATTATTATTACATATTAATACGTTACATCGAAAGTGTTATTTAATGAAAACCCTTTCTTCCACATTATTACGCAAACAACACGACAATAAATATCTCCATAATTTTAACGTAATGGAACATTAAAAAACGTTAATTGCATCGAATTATAACGAAATAGCATTTTTATGTTGCTTTTTTTAATTCTGTCAGACGTGAGATAACAAGATAAATTTTCGAACGTGATCAGGAAAGCGGAACAAATTATTTGAAAAAAGATCTCAACCAAATTTTCCTTTACAACTACAAATGGTCGGTTAGTTAGTAAAGTTTTTGCGGACTAATAAAAGAAGCTATTTATGTACAGTTTCGTCAATTTAATCTTAATTTCCAAATAAATTAGTCAAGTATTCTAGAATTCCGATTGGGTTTTAAATTCTATCAAAAGTTTAGTTGAGCAAAAAATATATTGACGGCTGAAGCATGGGTATATAATTTTTTATTTCAGCGTGTGTGCTTTTATTACCTATAATAATTAGAATTCAGACTGTTATTTTATATCACTTACTCAACAAAATCTTGACTTAAAAAACGATCAAGATTTATTATAAATACATAATAAATTTAAACTAATGACAATTTGAATGCCTCTAATGTGGAGACATATAAGGCACCGGTAACGTAAGGTGTCGATGGACTTTCTATTTAGTGATCCCTAGACGACAATGAAAACCCTTATCACTATTACTTTCTGAATTATTCTCGCAATACTTCTTCCGATTTATTCCTTTCGCACGAATCTTTCTTTTGTGAAACTAATTAACGATAGCCTCGAGGGGCTATTCTGATTTCGCCTGAAGTAGAGCTCACGGGGCTTAGATTGAGAGAATTTTGCTAATAGCTACCCCAGCCAGAGCAATGCTTCGCTGAATCTACTACCGGATTGGAATGCCGAATCAATGAGAAGAGGCGAGGAAGTTAGTGGGTGTGTCCTGTGGGTTAACTCGCCGAAAGTGCGGGTTCGACGAGAACCCACGAATCAGTACTCGCTGAAGCATTTATAATACTGTTAGTTGAATTTCTCAAAATAAATTGAACACTCATAATTATTGCTCTATTTTATAAAATTACAGCAACCACGAAACAAAACTAAACAGTACTTTCGAATATTTCTAACAATTACTTTTTAGTTAGAGACCGGCAAAAAATATAGATTCAAAGATGCTTAATGCTATGGAAGCATGACTTGTAAGCCTTTACTTTAACACGATTCTGTGAAAACTAGCAGGTACTTGACAATGGTTTCTTTTAATGATCTTATGTGATGACATGTTCTACAAACTAAAAAACGATTTTATACTGTGAATAATATATAGATTTTTTTTAATTATCAATATAATAATAATAATAATAAGCCCATTTTATTTCCAAAATAAGAAAACACCTTATCAAATAAAAATTACTAATATAAAAGTTTTGTTATTGGATCCCCACTTCGGGCATAGGCCTCCTCCAGCTTACCCCACTCTTCCCTATACCTATATATTTTTTCCCTACCTAAGCCTTGAGAGGCTATTTCAGCGTAACCTTAACTAGTAGGTGAGCTCACGGGGCTCAAACCGAAGTGATGCTAACACTGACCCTAGCAAGAGCAGTGCTTCGCAGAATCTACCACTGGATCGGAAACGCGACCCACTGAGAAGATCCGGCGAGAAACTCAGTGGGCTGTGTCTATGGGTTTCTTCTCTATTCTTGGCTTTGTATCTACATTATTTTCCTGTTGTTGCTATTATTTCGTTGATCCATGTATTCCTTAGTTGGCCTGTTCTTTTGCCCATTGGTCCTTCTATTTCTAATTCTAATTATTAATAATTAATTATTCTAATTATTAATATAATGTTTTACTAGGTGATGACCGAGCTTTGCTCTTTTTTTTTGATAACGCCATCTTGTTGTGTCTTTAAAGCGGTTAGTTGCCCTCAATTAAGAAAAATAGTATTATTATTCGCCAATAGATGTCGGGAAGAGTTGATTATTGAAAACACGAATAAAACAACATTTTCTGAAAATAAATCGTAGCTAGATCGATTTATCGCCCCCGAAATTCCCTGTATACTAAATTTTATGAAAATCGTTGGAGCCATTTCCGAGATTCAGATTATATACATATATATTGGTGTACAAGAATTGCTCGTTTAAAGGTATAGATTACTCACGGCGAGTTCCTCGCTAGTGTATGCAGTGAGGATGCGCCTGTCTTGTTGAAGTACGCAATAGAAGGGCTCCCAGGAGAGCGGCACTCCCACTACCGCTCCGGCGACGGCACTAGTTGCGACATCTGCATAAAATTAATCATAATATCAGTAACGTAATTTAAAATATGTACATTATTAAGAAGCATTAGCTAATGCCTTTTTTAAAGTATTTTATAAAGCAGCAAAAATTTCGAACTCCGCGATATCTGGCAAAAAATTAAACAAATTAAAACTAATCACAAATTAAAACTTGAAGGGTGGGACAGCCGTTGTAACTATACTTGAGACCTTAGAACTTATATCTCAAGGCGGGTGGCGCATTTACGTTGTAGATGTATATGGGCTCCAGTAACCACTTAACATCAGGTGGGCTGTGAGCTCGTCCACCAATCTAAGCAATAAAAAAAAACGCAATTACATTCGTTATATGTTCAGTACTTTCTTCAATTATGGCGCGTCGAAGTGTAAATTAGCACATAATTGCATGAGCCGTTGTCTGTCATCTCAACGAGTTATGTAAATATTACAGCATTCGACGTTCTAGGCGACTGCATCGAAACCTTTCCAATGAATACAAAATCTCTTAGAACGTACTTATTTGTATTCTCAAGAATGTGTAGTATTTTTTTAATAAGAGGTTTTTTTTTATTCGGCTTTATTAAAAATAAAGGTTAACTGCTATTCTATAGCAGACTAAAATTTTGAAAGCGTCTGTTTTTTTATTTACTCCATTATACAATAAGTTACGTAATACAATACAATAATAATAATAATACAATACAATAAGTTACGTTTAAGTACGTAAATTCAGTAATCAACTTTCAGAATTTCACGTAATTACGATGGTCACTAAACTTCCTATTAATTGGCGAAATTACAATTTTTTTTTCAACTTCCAACGTATAAAAATTATTTGAATACCAAAACTGAAACCTTAATTGTCCCATCCGTGATTTTTATCAGGCGAATATTTGGACACCACCCTTGTGATCTGGTTAATCTCACTTAGTAGTCAATTAAATTGGTAGGAGGTCGCAGTCGAGGAGAATTCACAAAAGGACAACACCAATTGAAGCAGTTATTCGGTTAATAAACTTCCCGCACAGTGGCTACTAGTCTCCACTTGGATTAATGTGTTCCATTTATTTAACTGTGACTCAGTTGATGCTCGGTTTTGTTTTACTTTCACGGAAACGCGTTCAAAATTATTCTGTTTATTACTAGTAAAATATCGCTAAAGATTATCTATTACTATGTCTAGTACGACTAGGCTACGGTAGCACGGCTACTATATTTAAAACTCTCACTCATTCGTTATACTACCCATAGTTTTTGGCACTTGATACCCATTTGGTACTTACCCACGCGGACTCACAAGACGCCCTACCTACTAGTAGATAATAGAGGTTCATTGGGAAAGCATATTTCTATCTCATGACCAGACAGATGTATCATGTTGCCTATAATTCGTATTTATTAATGCCAAATGGAAGAACATTAAACATAGCTTATATCTGAGGACTAAACTGCCTGCTCTAAGTCTAAATTGATTGACAAAACATTCATTAAAGCGAGCGAAGCCGCGGGTAAAAAAAAGTTAACGATATTTTTTTATATTTAAATGCTGACACGTTACCTTAGCGATCTATTAAAATTAGTAGCTATTAAATATAAAGCATAGCAATCGAAACGTATTTATACGTTATCATTCGAGAAGAACTGAGACCAGTTTGTCAAGATATTGCCAATAAGCTTAGTATATTTAAAACGACCTCTAGCTTGTGCGTTACAACATCAGACGGCTCATCCGTAAAATTATTGTTTAAAATAAGAACCCATATTACGCAAAAAACGGTGTGCAAGGGTACTAAACATTTATATTATTTTATCCAAACATTTTTTTTATTTTCTCTTAGGCAACGATATACTTTGATTATTACAGATTGCAATGTCATATTAAAATCTCACTTGTTTATGTGTGACAGTATTTACGGACTTTTCCATCGTTACTCTATCAGTTGGGTATGTCTAGGGGATATAGACTAGAAACCTTTCGCCTAAAATCCTAAATGAGACATAACTTAGAAGAGACAAGTGTTAGGTTAATATATATTTTCTTACATGCCATAAATAAAGTACATATCGACGCTTGAAAGGCAAACGTGACTAAGCGACAATAACTGCTTTGTACATAAATGATAGGCAATAACCATATTCGATGTGCAAAAAAAATATATTTCTAGGTCTATTAAAATCATTTCAATCCTACAGCTAGATTCGTTAAAATAGAATTTTTTCAGGTATTTCTCATGTATATTTTAAATTAATTTCAACTTTAAATTAGTCTACTGTAAAGTTTACGCATTGTCGCTTACGAGTAGTCATGTTTGCCTTTCAAGCGTCGATATAATGAGTGAACAGTCGTGATGGTGAATAGTATTAGAATATTGGAAAATACTGTAGACCATGATTTGCCCTTTTTTTAAAAGACCTACGACGGAAATCACACTAATTAAATTAAATTAAAATAAAAGTTGAAAAGTGCTATGGTCATAATAATATGGTTATGTCTATTGCATCTTGAAATTCAATAGAAGACTAAGATTGTAGGTTTTAAGTGGGCATTCTTTGAACTCCCACAAACGCTTGAGGCAAGTTTTATTCTTATGCTCTCAAATAAGTAACATAGAAAGTCGATATATTCAGGCCCACGTCTTCTTTTGAATAACAATGGTGAAATTTCATTTTATCGAATAAAAAATTAAAGTGGTGATTGCAAATTTAACGTTTAATGCATTTTATTTTCATTTATCAGAAATGTTTTTCTCATTTACCTTTTAAAGTAATAATCTAATCTTTATATAAATACGTGGAACAAAAACTTTGTACCCCTTTTTACAAAAATTGCGCGGGCGAAGGAGTATGAATTTTTGAAAAAAATATAGAGAAGGAGTGCAGAATGTTAATTTGTTTTTTTCAATTATGGATAAAAAATACATTACATCAATGTATGTATGTGTATTTGACACGACACATTTATTTACTCTTTTTTTATTGTCAAACTTTTGTTATTGTTTAAAGTCTGGTCAATTTGTGAATAGATCTTCGCAATTTGAGAATAGATTAATATTGTTTGTCTTTAATAATAATTGTCTATAGTGTAGTCTTGGCGAAATCTGAGGTTATAGAAGTATAATAGTCCTTAAAAATAGAACCATAATAATGTTCAAACTTTTAATTTCCAATAACTATAGTCGAATTCTGACTACTGGGAGACCACTAGTATTCATTCAAAAACAGTTTTTTTTATTCGTATTATTTTTAAAAATACTAAGATTGTTAAGGAGGCTATCAGCTACTATATTTTATACATATTTCGAAAACTTATATTGAACTTATTATGAAATAACTTATATCTCATAAAACGAATTAGATAACTAAAAATACATTAAGACTCATCTAAAATTGTTATACATATTATATACCGTGAACGAAATATTTTCCTGATACCAGGAGAACTAGCAAAAAAAAAAGGCTAAGCTCGGAACGCCCATCTCGATTCGAAAATAGCCCTCGGCTATCACACTATCGGCGGTACAGTCACGCACAGTACAACGACGGTACTAAGCAAAATAGGAAATTTTATTCTCATTCATAGAATTTCATATCAACTCATCGATTTACCGGCGCGGCGATCAGATTCAGGATAGTAGCAATGGTTTTATTTTACGAACGTTACTTAGTCCGCTTTAGATGTTTGTTTAAAAATAAATTTATTCGCATTTCTTCTACACTATATTTTCAATTAGTATAAGAGCCGGCTTCGTATTTACTATGTATAATATTAACAACATGTGCTTAATATAATATTATTGGCTATGATATTATGTCATGATAATATGATATGATACGTTTTTTTTTTTTTTTTCTTTTTTATTGCTTAGATGTATATGAGTATTTACTAACGGTGGGGCGTCTTGTGAGCCCGCACGGGTACGTACCACCATCCTGTCTATTTCTGCCGTGAAGCAGTAATGCATTACTGTTAGATGGCACCGCCGTTAGACTGTACAATTGGGATTTAGACCTCATATTTCAAGGTGGATGGCGGCATTTACATGGCGATGTCTGTTTTCGGCAGTCACTTAACATCAGGTTCGCCACGAGCCCGTTTACGCGGCTATTCATTTAAAAAAAAGCGTTCTCTCATTACTTTTTATATCAGCGAAAACAGGATTTTACCAAAGCAATTTGCAAGTCCGCTCTATCTACTTGATAATATTTTATGACGATTATACTCATTATCCCTAGCTCCAAGTCATAGCAACTGTACTAAGAACAGATATCAATCGCTGAAGAAAACAAACTACAAACGCAGCCGTTATTTAAAAAAAAAAATCCAATTAAAAATAATTGCTTGGAGTTACTTGACAAACGTCTTCACTTCTTACAGCAAATAATGATTCAGCATACAAAAGTAGCAAATCAAAACGAGAAATTCTTGTATTACCGCAAGTTACCTCACGAAGAGAGTTTCCAGAATATTTACAATTAAGTTTAGGGCCTTTATAAAAATAAAAACACAGGATTAAAACGCACTAATCGATTTATGGAATTATGTATATGTTAACGGAAATGTATGTAATCCGTCATTGTATACAATTCCTAGGAAATGTATGTAATTCCTAAAATCGCACGGAAATGTGTGAAATAAGTTATATTATACTTACACATTTCCTAGGAAATCTATACATTTCCTAAATAGCAATCGGAAATGTAAAACATTTAAGATATTGGTGGGTACGCGGGGACAGCGGGACGAGTCTTGCACTACGGTCAGTTGCCAACTTGCAATCCACTGGAACCGGCCAGGGATTTAAGAAGTGCCTTTGCAAGAAAAACTGTGCTACTTCAAGATGTCTGTGNCCACTGGAACCGGCCAGGGATTTAAGAAGTGCCTTTGCAAGAAAAACTGTGCTACTTCAAGATGTCTGTGTTTTAAAAATAAAGTATTATGTACTTCCAAATGCCATTCGAGCTTACCCTGCAAAAATAAATAGCTATATGGACTGACAAAGTATTA